CATGTCTAATACAGGCCTGTAACTGTTCAATCGTCTTGGGCCTTCTTTGTCGCACCTTCCTCTTTATGATGTGCCAAATGTTCTCTATAGGTGAAAGATCTGGACTGCAGGCTGGCCATTTCAGTACCCGGATCCTTCTCCTGCGTAGCCATGATGTTGTGATTGCTGCAGAATGTGGTCTGGCATTATCATGTTGAAAAATGCAGGGTCTTGCCTGAAAGAGATGACGTCTAGATGGGAGCATATGTTGTTCTAGAACCTGAACATAGTTCTCTGCATTAATGGTGCCTTTCCAGACATGCAAGCTGCCCATGCCACAAGCGCTCATGCAACCCCATACCATCAGTGATGCAGGCTTCTGAACGGAGCATTGATAACAACTTGGGCTATCCTTGTCCTCTCTGGTCCGGATGACATGGCGTCCCAGTGTTCCATAAAGAACTTCAAATCGTGACTCATCTGACCAAAGAACAGTCTTCCATTTTGCCACACTCCATTTTAAATGACCCCTGGCCCAGTGCAAACGTCTGAGCTTGTGGAGCTTGCTTAGAAATCGCTTCCTCTTGGCACTGTAGAGTTTCAGCTGGCAACAGCGGATGGCATGGTGGATTGTGTTCACTGACAATGCTTTCTGGAAGTATTCCTGAGCCCATGCTGTTATTTCCTTGACAGTGGCATTCCTGTTTGAGGTGCAGTGACGTTTAAGTGCCCGGAGATCACGAGCATCCAGTAGAGTTTTACGGCCTTGACCCTTATGCACAGCGATTGTTCCAGATTCTCTGAATCTTTTGATGATGTTATGCACGGTTGATGATGATAACTTAAAAGTCTTTGCTATTTTACGCTGGGTAACACCATTCTGGTATTGCTGCACTATCTTTCTGCGCAACAATGGTGGAATTGGTGATCCTCTTACCATCTTGGCTTCTGAGAGACACTGACACTCTGAGAAGCTCTTTTTATACCCAATCATGTTGTCAATTGACCTAGTTAGTGTTAATTGGTTTTCCAGCTGTTCGTTATATGCTCAATTTCCTTTTTCCAGCCACTTATTGCTACTTGTCCCAACTTTTTTGGGAATTGTTGACACTGTGAAATTTTGAATCAACATATTTTTCCTTTAAAATGTTACATTTACTCAGATTAAACTTTTGATCTGTCATCTATGTTATATTACTAATAAAATATTGACATTTGTTATCTCCACATCATTGCATTCAGTTTTTATTCACAATTTGTTTAGTGTCCCAACTTTTTTGGAATCCGGTTTGTAAATTGGGATGCATCTTATCTCCTCATGCTGGAAGTAATGGCTTAATATCATTTGGTTTCCCAATCACAATTAAGAATGCATCTTTTTAGGAATCATTTTTATTTTGCTAAATATCTGAAATACCAGAAACCAGGAGTTCACTATTATCCTGCTCAAACTACAGCTGGTCAGGTGTCAGCAAAGTTCAAGCCCCTCCCCCCCATCTATCATTCGACATATTTCACTTGATTGACATCAAATTTTGTTATAAAACTTGCTTTTTTTTTCAGATTCAAATAGAATATTCAATTTGAAAGAGTTAACATTTTGCTCCAAATTTAGCCTATTTGAATATGAGCTGTGAAATAATTTAAAATGGACACAACAAGAATGTGATGGAAAAGATTGTGGTGTCCAGCCTTTGAATAACGTCACAATAGTACTATTTGTACTATTCGTATTGTTTTTGTACTATTTGTGCTGAGTGTATTCTTAGTTTTACTGTGTTTCTTAGTTCATATTTTAAATCTTATTACTGTTTTTCTTTTACAATTTATACTTTTGTTGGATGTAACTGGAACCCCGTGTACACAATTTTGTTCCACCGCATGTGCAACATGTGATGCGACTAACGATAAAGAACCTTGACTTGACTTGAACTGACGATAGGAAAAAAAATGACTTTTTGCTCCATTTTCCAGTCCAAAGATGAAGTACACCTCAAAAGTCTTCATTTTTAAAAGTGTTCCCACATTTTTTCATTATATTTTATTCCAATGTGATGCTTCTGCAATTAACTCTGCATGCTTTCTGATCCACATGGTTTCAGAAGTTAGTTGGGGAGTTCTGTTACTTTTGAATCAAAAAATTAATCTCTTTAAGGACTTTTGCATGTTCATCTTTAGAATAAAAATGAGCTTACAAAATAGTTACCCAGCCTCTTTACTCATTCTAATCATAAGCTCTACTGCGTCACGCAGCAGAAGCCTCATTTTCTTCAGCTTAATGTTGGTCATGGCAGGGTTTCTCGCCATGTTCGGCCTCAGCGGCAGTTGAAAGAAGCTATCAGTATATGGAGTTGTTTGTTTTATTCATTAATAGTTGGAAGATATGCCTCCAAATTGAGCCTGTGCTGCTTCTATGTTCTCCATATTGCTGCAGTGCATTAGCATTAATGACTTAATATATCTTTTACACCCCCTATAGCTTTTTGTTTAGCTTCAAATGAGCTTAAAATCCTTGTGAAAAGCAAAGACACTAAATGAAAGTAAACAGAAGCCATTTTATTTACTAGGTGATGTTTTATTGTAGAAGAAGGTAATAACAGGTTATTGCTGCTACAAGATGCCATCCGTTGGCAAACTGTATCTAAACAGCAGATTAAAACATTAATTTCTTTGAGAAAACACAATGAAGTTATGGATTGCCACTTTGATCACAAAAAAGTAACGTTTTTAACCAGACACAGAAAAGTCTGTCTTGTCTGAACTAATAAAAGGTCAGGGTTGCTCTCCAAATCAGTTGGGACAGCAGCAGGATATCACAATTTGAGACCACTCAGTAATCACACAAATTACACTTTCTCTCTGCTGTTGAGTGACTCACTGTTTATATCCAGCCACCAGGGTGCATGTACAATTTTAGACCGCCTGTCCACACATGTTTCTATGCAATGGGCCTGTTTTGTATTTCTAGCAGCGTGTGAGCACGCAATTCCCTTCTTTTGTGTGCGCGCACGTGTTTAAAAAATGCTTGCAATCATACACACACAGCCCTTTTGTCCTTTCAGGTGGATTAGTGCACTGATTAGTACCAGCTCTGCCATTTAGGCAGGTGTTATTACTTTGTACTTAGTATTCCAGACAGAGACCCAAACCTTGCTCGGTCTGTCTCTCCTCCTCTTCCAGTCGTTTAATCTCGGCACCCAGGAGAGGTCTTATTCTTGCCTCTTTAGCATCCCCCAAAATCTCTGTTTAGCTGTTTCATCTCAGAGTAAGCCTCAGTTTTAAATCCTTTTCTGTAACTCTAGACTGTTACTTTGTTAAAACTGATTTTTTTTTTTCTTGTCATGTTGTCACCAGTACACCAACCTCCTAATATTTAATTAATAATGACGTATTCTCTTAAATGTTTTTCAATCTGTCTTACCTAAAGGATGATAAAAGTGAACAGAATGCATTTTGGTGTAATAAAATAATCCATTTTATTTTAAATTATTTCTGAAACTCTGCACACCATGACCAAGGGAAGTATTCTCAGTCTATTGCCATTCATCTGTGAAAGTGTCCATCCAAATGAAGAGGACTCAAATTGGTATCGGACCTTTTGTCAGTGTCGTGTCCCATTCTCTTTTACCTCTACAAAGCATGACTATTGATCTTTTCAGCAGCGCAGTTCATTCTTATTGATCTTTACTGAACTATGATGAATGTCTTCCCAGCAAGGAGGTGAAGTTTAAGCAGGCAGCACCACGAAGCTTCAATTTTTCACATTTATTGTGAATCTGCATCGTATGCAAGATGGCTGTGGGGCTCATTATTCCTTATATATGGTGCTGATGAGGTGGCCAATGATTTTATTTTGTTTTTACTCAAATCTATATCTTGGAGATGAAAAACAACTTTTTTCTTGAACAATTTATTTCTAGGTTTTTTGAAGATCTGCACATGTTTTATTCTAATTGCATACTTAAACTGTCCATGTCATTAGTACGTAATTGTGTTATTAGTATTTTGTTTGTCTTCATTATTATAACTTTGTAAAACTTGCCATAAAAATGTGAATCTTTTGCATAACTTGCAATAACAGTCATGAACAATAAATATCTCGACCAAATTCAAGTCTTGTAAAGATTATATTTCTAATCAAATTAACATATGACCATTTTGCTCCAAGAAGTTGTATACTTTCACAATTTTATAGCTTTTATTATGAAATAACCAGTGTGGTTAATACAATGTGGTATGTTTTTGTACTTGTGAAAATTACAATATAATATTTTGGCAACTTTAAAAAATATTACTTTTCTTTTTAATTATTTTTGACTAAAACATTTGAAAATACAGTATTTTCTCATTTTACAAACCCCATACCACTCAATCACTATCTGTCATGCTTTACAACCTCTCACAGTGTGATTACAAATGTGCATAACAGCCACTGGAGTGTGACAAGAAAGATCTTCCTGGGGTTGTATAAATGGTCCAGGGGCAAAGGTATATGGCTGTGTTTGAGGAGGTAATTTTGGCTGAGTGGTCCTGCTATGGGCTCATTTGCTACGGGTCACTAGTGGATTTTGACCACTGGTCTGCACATTGTTGACTAGTGACCTTGTGGCCTTACAGGATTGCTCTCTGGTGTTACTGCACTCTTTTGTGCATGGATCAGCACAAGCGCTCATAATTCAAACTTGTACACAAAATTATACAAACAGAGTAAAACAATTCTAATAGGTTTTGTCGGTGCAAACCTTCCACTTGCAAAGTTATTGTTCTCTTGAAATGCACAGAAAACCCAACTGTGTTGGTAATATCTGTCTCCATTAGAATTTAATGAGGTTTGAAAGATGAGGCAGAGCTGAATATACTGCACCAAATGTAGCACCACGTCAAAATATGAACTGCAAAGAAATGCATGTATGGGGAATTTTGTTAAAATGTTTTGATTTCCCTATTTAGCTTGCTTTTAATCATATAAGTTCATTTGTGTTTGTCTCACTCAGTGACTTTCATCTGTCATCTATTTGCAGAGTGCACAGTGCTACAAGGTCACCACTGAAAACTATAACAAAACTGTAGATCAACTGAAAGCCAAGTTCAAGTAAGTGTATACATTTTCACTCTTTCCCAAATAATTTGCATGAATAAAGAACAATAGCTAATTGCAAGGTCTGTCCACCTTTCTATCTAAAGTGTTTCTGTGTTAATATTTATGAAGGGGTTCTTCTAAATGTAGCTAGGACCTGAATGACACCAACTAAAAACTACTGGTACATGTCATAGAAAAGCTATAATGATATCGGGCTTCCTGCTTTCAGTTTCTGAAAAAGTAATTAGGACATGGTCCAAAAAGTTAACACAATAAACGAAAGATGAAGAAAACTTATCTGTAGTAATGTGGCATTCAGATTATTATTATTTTTTTTTTTTACTGTTGTGAGTTATTTAGTGACTTGCTAGACTGGTATTTATTCAAGATGATTTGGAAACTTGCTTGCCTAACACAACCAAAATTGAAGGCACTATATTAGCTAGGCCTGTCGCGATAAACAATCTATCAATTAATCGCATGATAAATCATTTATCGGCTTTATCGTTTCTTTGTGTCTCTCTCTTTCTGAAGACACTGGATGACAAAAAGCTCAACTCCAGTGCTCTTCACTGACCCCTCCTTTTCTCTTTTTTTCTTTAAAATCCATTTTAACCGTCCAAAATCGCATTTTTGGATCGTTAAAAGCAGCTAAGCTGAGAAGCTAAGCTATGAGCTAATCTAACAGGCCAACTTTGGGGAAAAAACCTCCTTCTTGTCGAAGCTCCAAAATTCACAGTTGAAACTCGTGCCTTTGTGTAAAAAGTTTTTTTCTGTAAAAAGAAGCTGAGAACGTGTTTACTGATTTTTGTTTTAATTAAAAGCTTTGTGTGACAAATGCTATGCTAAAGGGCTCAAACCACACCAAATGTCTGCCATTTTGAGAACTGAAAACCAGGAAGGAGAGACAGCCCATGTCACTTCAAGGGGCCTCCCTCCCATTTTTCTTAAAGAGACACGCTGCTTGCTCCCTCACTATCCATCCTTTGGTTCAAACAGTCTGTACTGTCATCTGGTAGTCGAAAAAAGGTACTACACACAAAACAAAATTAACAAACATTTCTTCTTAATTATTGTCAAATTTCAAACAATATTATAATGCAATAATTTCTGAGACAATTAATCGTCCAACAAAATTTGTTGTTGTGATAGGCCCAGTATTAGCATCGATGCCTGTGCGAGAACGATCTTTCTTCTTTACATTTAAAAATCCAAAAAAAGATGCACTACAGTTTACTTTAAAGCTACATAAATTATTCATGAAACTGTAACTTGAACCTGAATAATATTTTTTTACATAGATGGTCAATTTTCCACCTAAGCTTCTTTAATCCTCATGTACGTTCTGATTTAGTGTTCAGTGATGATGCATTGACTGAAGATAACATGTCCGTATGGACCAGTGAATCTGTTATTGAATTATGTTAGCCCCATTCCAACCAACATCTTTCAATCAAATCCACATTAGTGTGGCCCATTAGCTAATGTTGATGATGTGGTTCACTGATAATTTTGATCTCATGCTGGTCTTTGGTAGAACTTGTGCTTGCTTAATATTTCACTTTTGAAAGTACGGTTTACTTAATTGTTCTTTTTACACAAACCGGCATCTAACAGTACTTTACAAAAAAAGTGTAGTTGTGTTGTTAAAAATAAGTCACATCTCAAGAAAGAAAAGATCAAAAACCAAAAGGACATGTTATATTATGAGTTTCTCACCGTAAATCTTTACAGAACATGCTGAATGCAGCCACACCTTGTGGAAGTAAGTAAAATCTTAAATTTAAGCTGTCACAAACGTCATTTAGATTCACCACTAAAATGTAACTCAAGAAGACACAGAATCTCTTTTCATTCATGTTCCATCTGTCTTCGTAATAAGAGGCCATTAAGCTCTATAGTAATGCAGGGAAAGTGGATGAGGAGCCTGCAGGAGGTGGGGCAAGAATGGGCTCTGGCTCTGAGCTCACCTCTTCGGAGGCTCCAATGATTGTGTTAGCTTGTCATTAGCCGGCGCTAACACTAGGATCATTGTCTCCCTTAGAAATGTTGGAAACTGATTAGCCTAGCCCACCAGGGGTTTAGCGCTAGACTCACAGAAGCCAGAGCTTAGACTTCCCAAATCACATTAAAGAAAAAAAAAAAGATACTCTTGAATCAAATTAGCGCTAAATGACAGCGCTAACTCTAAGCAAGCGTTGAGCTAATGTGCTGTTAGTCATGTGACACGGGTCTTTGCACGGAATACAGCGATTGGTGGATTTGATTATAGGATGTGCATTAGCCGGGTTGTGACTGGGTTAGAATTGTGGAAGGGTAGTCAGGATTTCTGTGTGTGTGCGTGTGTGTTTGTGTGTGTGTGTTCTAATGAAATGGCAGAAAGGTCTGGTGTTACAAGATGGGAGCAGGGATGCATTGAATAGATCAGAGTAAAGATTTAATTGGATTTAATGGATTGTGTTTGGCCCATCCTTGTTTATGTGTACGAGTTCATGCATAATTGTGTATGTTTGTACGCTCTCCTATGATGAACAGCTTTGGTGTGCACAGTGTGTGTCTTTCCTCAAAGCTCTTATGACGGAGACCTTTCAAAGATAAGATGCTATCTATGGCCTCTGTAGAGTAATAACAACAAATATTTTTTGTCTCATGGTGGCTCTTGATTTCTTCAGAAATGAAACTGTCCCCTTGAGATAATAAAAAAGAGCATCTGTCTCTTATCCATTCTTGATAGAATTATCATTTGATGTTGTTATTGTGCAGATGTAAAGAGTGAAAGAGCTTTCTTAGAATATCTTTATTTCCCACTTCAGCTCATGTCAGTGCCACTGTGATGAGCATAAGGTAATATCAAGTTACAGTTTATTATAAGAGAAAAGTGTGGGACCAGATGTGAATGTCTATCAATGGTTATTGCTTTTTCAGACAAGTCAGATATCAGCAGTTGATGATGGCTTAGAGGTACACGACTGTCATGATTTATGGAAGATTTTGGGATTGACCCTTGGTATATTATTTATTGTGGAATGTAAATAAAAGATCCTGGTCACATGTATGTGTAACTCAATCAGCCAATTGTCTCAGTATTGTTAACCTACAAGTACATTTGACACTTTAAAAAAAAAAATGCTGTTTACAGATCTATTTCTGTTTACTGGTAGTATTTATTTTCTTATGTGAAATGAAAAGTGCTATTTTAAGATCGGTTTGCAATAAATAAAGATTCAACAATTTAAAAAAATCAGCTAGGTTAGCTTAGGTGAAAAGTTAACTGGTTTTGTTGCACTAAAATTCCCGTTGAATGTGATGTTCTATCGCAAATCCACATTTGATCCTACTGCACTCCATTTTCCAAGTATTCAGAAAAAAACTAATAAACCAAAATGATACATTTTTACAGCTAGTTCTGGTCTATACAGTATATGTTTTATCCATTGCAGTGATCCATATTGGTCATGTTCTTGGAGTTACTGAAGGAAGTAAATTAAAGTGTGAGAGATAGGCACTCGGGGTGAAAAGGGTGTGTGAGTCTAATATAAGGTTGTGTAATTGTGCAGTACTTTGGGTGGTAAAGCTTTTTTTACAGTGTTCCTGCCAGAAGTTTCTGAAAATGATGAGTCTCCCAACTGAAATGCAAAGACATCACCATGACCTCATTACATCCACTCACATGCAGTCACACTTCAAGAAAAACCACACACAGCTATATATAGAAAGCTATGTGCATATCTATGATGCCTCACAATTTCTCACAATTATGAATTTGGGCATAAAAGTGTGGCACTTGAAGTACAAGTAATTTTGGCATTTCTACACTAAACTTAAAACACTTTAATTAACAGCCAAAACTGCTTAAATTAAAAACGCATAAAGAATTGTGTTTACACTTATAGCATGTTGAAACAATGCTTAAATTCTCAGGAAAAATTATGAAGTTAAAAGCAATTATCTAATATACAAAGAGATGCACAAATGGATAAAGGAGCCACATGTCTTTTTTGATAGTTAAAATAAATTGTAAAACAAATTCCACCCCTCCATAATCCATAATCCTCTGGTTCAGGAGTCGGGTAATGGGGGGCAGCAGCTTGAGCAGGGAGGCTCAGACATCTCTTTCCACACACACCTCTTCCAGCTCCTCTGGACAGATTCCAAGGCGTTCCCAGGCCAGCCGAGAGTCATAGTTTCTCCAGCATGTCCTGGGTCTTCCCCAGTGTCTCTTCCAAGCCAAACATGCCCAGAAAACCTAGGGAGGCATCCAGGGCACATCTTTACCCAGATGCCCACACCACCTCAACTGGCTTCTCCCAATGTTGAGGAGCAGCGGCTGAACTCACCCTATTTCTAAGGGAGTCTAGCTACCCTGTGGAGAAAACTTATTTCCTTCTGTTACTGTTTTGGTTACTACCAAAAGTTTGTGACCATAGATGAGGGTAGGATGAGGCCCACCAGTAAACGGAGAGCTTTGCCTTGAAGCTCAGCTCCTTCATCATCACAATGGACCGGCACAGAGCCAGCGATACTGCAGAAGCTGCACTGATCTGTCTGTCAATCTCACACTCCATTCTCCCCTCACTTGTGAACAATACTCCAAGAGACTTAACTCCTCCAGTTGAGGTAACACCTCACTCCCAACCCAAAGAGGGCATCCACCCTTTACCAACTGAGGACCATGGCCTCAGAAAAAATTTGAAATTGTAAAGTATTTGTAAAAAAAATAATCGTATGGACAGATTTATTGGTACCCTTAATCAGACTATCATTCTTTGCACTATTATCAAGTTTCAAACTTCCGATAAGTGTTTGACCTTATTTACCGGTAATATCACAGGTGGCTTCAAGCTTTTTATCAGCCGTTCAGAATATTTAAAGGGAGCAAACTGTGAAGTTTAGAATTGTTTTGTGTATCATACAGCAAAAGCAAGAGCGGCTTGAAGAGCTCAGAAAGAAGATTATATATATATATTCATCTTTGTTAAAGGTAAAAATGACAAGACCATTTCCAAGCAGCT